TGTCATGTTGGAAAAGTGCACATCGACCGAGGGCACGGAGTGATGGGAGCATCTTCTCCTTCAGTATAGAGCAGAACATCTGTGAATTCATGACACCATCATTGAAATGCAGCTCCTGGACACCAGCAGCACTCATGCAGTTCCACAGTAGGACACTGCCACCACCATGTTTCACAGTAGGCACCATGCATTTTTCTTTGTACTCCTCACCTTTGCGATTCCATACAGTTTTGAAGCCATCAGATCCAAAAACATTTATCTTGGTCTCATCACTCCAGAGTACAGAGTCCCAGTAGTCTTCTTTTTCAGCATGGGCCCTGGCAAATTGTAGGCGGGCTTTAGGAGAGGCTTCCTTCGTGGACGACACCCATGCATGCCATTCCTCTGCAGTGTACGCTGTATTGTGTCACGGGAAACAATCACCCCAGTTTGGCTTTCTACTTCTTTAGCCAACTGTATAACGTGTGTGTATGTCAGTCTTGTATGATATGTATGATATATTTGGTGGGGGGGAATCCTCTCTCGTTCTGCAGTCAGTGTGGTCTCTGGTATGAACATGTGGAGATGTTTGTGGTTGGTTGCAGTTTAATAGCGATAACTGTCAGTGTTCCTCTGGCTGAGCAGTTTTTCATGGGTGGGGAGCAGAGGACGACGATTCTGGTATTATTCATCATGGTGACTTGGTCCTCAGTATCGCCTTGTGGTTAAGTCAGCATTGCCTCCTCCCCGGCCATCTGTAAAGGTGTTGGAACCATTCTGTGAAAAGCGTATCTGTGAATGACTAGAACTATGACATAAGTGCTAAAAGCACCATTTGTAGAACATTTCATCTGATACAGTGGACCTGTCCTATGCACTCAGGGGAGGGAGCCCCACTCTGGTATTACAAGCAACGATTGCTGTATAGGGGAATAAAGCAAAAATTCTGAACATATGAACCTTCGGATCACAAAACTTGGGCTGTTCTTGTATTTATCATTAACAACACAAGCCGACCACCCAATACTGAACACATAATACTGTGATAGAGACAATACAAAATATTGTAAAATGTACCCTTCTTGGGCCTGCACGACGTATACACCAGGAGTTGGTTACATATTTATTTTCTTTCTTTTTCATTCTCATTTATCCAGGTTATGGTACAGATACTCGTAGTTAGGGACTTTTTCTGTAACTTGTAATCCAGAGAGTTCTCCAAAGCAGGGGTCCCCATTCTTTCTAAACAAAGGGCCAGTTTACTGTCCTTCAGACTTTAGGAGGGCTGCAACGTGACTAATGGGGGTAAATAATGTCCCGGCATTAGTGGGAGTAAACAATGCCTCAGGCTTGGATTGCCAGTGGGAGTAAAAATATTACGCAGGGTCAGTGGTTATTAGGTGGAAAAATAGTGCCCATCATTAGTATCAGTGGGAGGAATAGTGCCCCATCATTGGTGTCAGTGGGAGGAATAGTGCCCCATCATTAGTATCAGTGGGAGGAATGGTGCCCCATCATTGGTGTCAGTGGGAGGAATAGTGCCCCGTCATTGGTATCAGTGGGAGGAATAGTGCCCCATCATTGGTGTCAGTGGGAGGAATAGTGCCCCATCATTGGTGTCAGTGGGAGGAATAGTGCCCCATCGTTGGTGTCAGTGGGAGGAATAGTGCCCCATCATTAGTTTCAGTGGGAGGAATAGTGTTCCATCATTGGTGTCAGTGGGAGGAATAGTGCTCCATCATTGATGTCAGTGGGAGGAATAGTGCCCCATCATTGCTGTCAGTAGGAGGATTAGTGCCCCATCATTGGTGTCAGTGGGAGGAATAGTGCTCCATCATTGGTGTCAGTGGAAGGAATAGTGTCCCATCATTGGTGTCAGTGGGAGGAATAGTGCCCCATCATTGGTGTCAGTGGGAGGAATAGTGCCCCATCATTGGTGTCAGTGGGAGGAATAGTGCGCCCCCCCATCATTGGTGTCAGTGGGAGGAATAGTGCCCCATCATTGCTGTCAGTAGGAGGATTAGTGCCCCATCATTGGTGTCAGTGGGAGGAATAGTGCCCCATAGTTGGTGTCAGTGGGAGGAATAGTGCCCCATCATTGGTGTCAGTGGGAGGAATAGTGCCCCATCATTGGTGTCAGTGGGAGGAATAGTGCCCCATCATTGGTGTCAGTGGGAGGAATAGTGCCCCATCATTGGTGTCAGTGGGAGGAATAGTGCCCCATCATTGGTGTCAGTGGGAGGAATAGTGCCCCATCATTGGTATCAGTGGGAGGAATAGTGCCCCATCATTGGTGTCAGTGGGAGGAATAGTGTCCCATCATTGGTATCAGTGGGAGGAATAGTGCCCCATCATTGGTATCAGTGGGAGGAATAGTGCCCCATCATTGGTATCAGTGGGAGGAATAGTGCCCCATCATTGGTGTCAGTGGGAGGAATCGTGCCCCATCATTGGTGTCAGTGGGAGGAATAGTGCCCCATAGTTGGTGTCAGTGGGAGGAATAGTGCCCCATAGTTGGTGTCAGTGGGAGGAATAGTGCCCCATCATTGGTGTCAGTGGGAGGAATAGTGCCCCATCATTGGTGTCAGTGGGAGGAATAGTGCCCCATCATTGGTGTCAGGGGAAGGAATAGTGCCCCATCATTGGTATCAGTGGCAGGAATAGTGCCCCATCATTGGTGTCAGTGGGAGGAATAGTGCCCCATCATTGGTGTCAGTGGGAGGAATAGTGCCCCATCATTGGTGTCAGTGGGAGGAATAGTGCCCCATCATTGGTATCAGGGGAAAGAATAGTGTCCCATCATGGTATGATATTCTAAACATTTTTAAAGATAATGCACCCTCTTTTAGTTAATTATAGGCACCTTTCAGAACACACAAGGTCACCTTACAAAGATCAATAATAAAATAAAAATAAAAAAAGGGTTAAAAAATCAACTCTCCAGCCAGCTTGCCAACAGCCAAATTGACCTGTCTAACAGTATGCGTTAAAAACAGGGGTTTAGTTAGCACACATTTGCAATTACATACATAAGCCACAGAGCACCTGCCCCTGGTCTATCCTTTAAATACATGTGCCTCTACTATGGGGACTCAGATTTGTAGAGTTAGGACCCCAGAATATCAGGGTGCCGTGACGTGGCTCTGTGGCTTACGTAGGTATTTGCAAATGTATGCTAATTAAAACTCTGTTTTTAATGCATACTGTTAGACAGGTTAATTTGGTTGTTGACAAGCTGGCTGGCGAGTTGATTTTTGAACCCTTTTTTTTTTTTCTTTTTCTTTTATTATTGACATGCGTTGCTCGGTTCACTTAGTCCTCGCTTCATAAGCCAGTCATAGACCGGGGCGGGTGCCATGTTTTACTTCACCTTACAAAGATAGCAAAAGGGTAACGAAAAAGTAAATAAAAAAATAAATATACTGTATATTACATAAATATTATTTACAAAACAAATCAATGAAGTCAGAGTATGCTAACTTAACCCCTTAACGCTGGCGCCCCCCCAGCCCTCCTGATGCCAGGAGGCGGGGTTTATGTTCATGTGATCCTCACAATTGGCTGTTACATGATTGGAAAGCTCTCGATTGCTGCCTGCTTTCTTTTAGGTGCCAGTAGCTGTGTCGGGAGTGCACTCCCGGTACAAGTTTGTTTACATTTTGGGATGCGTATATGTGGCCTCTCGGTGTCAAGGCCCCCCCCGCCGAGGGGCGGCATATATGCGTACCGTCTGCGCAAAGGAGTTAAAGAGATGAGTTTTGAGGTATAATTTAAAGGTGGGTAGGAAGTCAGCGTTTGCGGGTGGCAGGGTGTCCCAAAGTCGAGAGGCACTCAGTCCCATAGCGGTCAGCGGGGGGTTGGGGGAGCCCCAGCCAGTTATGTGTACATTGTGCGCTGTGCAGGATTTCCCGTAAACAGTCTGAACCGTAAAATCCTTCTTGATACTACACAGTAGAAGATTCCGGAGCTTGACAGCCATGTTCATTCAGTATAGTGGAAAATCCGGACGGACCAGTCAGACGGGTATGTTCAGAGTGTTCCCGTGTCAGGGAGACCCCGCAGTGCTCCGTGTGAGGATGCCGAGGAAAGGTTGATGTCTACACATGCCGGATCCCGGTGATTCACCGTCCACACCTCCTCCTTGTCCTGGCTCCATCTACGCCGGGCCCCGAAGGTTGGAGCTCTACAGCATGTCAGGAGCTACACATCCTATTGTTAAAGCAGAATTCCGGGCAGATATAAAATATACAGGTTAATGCGGCTCTGTATATTTATTAAAACATCATTAATTGTATTTTATTAATAATGTGTGTGACCGGCTAATAACCTCTTGTAGTCCACTGCTCAGGCAGCCAATTGAGTGTGCTGGAGTATCAGGAGCATGCCGATGGGAGAAGAGAGCAGAGTGATGAGCTTGTCAGTTTGCTGCTTCTCCTTTCAGCCTTCATGTCTCCTTTTTCTCCTTTATGTCCAACAACAGGCTAGGAATAAGACCTGTAAGTGAAAGTGAAACTGCAACAGAAAAAATAAGGTCCCATCCCCTGCCAAGCAGTTCTGTGTTGTGTGACAGAGCTGTGTGAATCTCAGAACTGGATGAGCATAAATACAAATCCGTTGGCGGGTAAAGCAGCTCCCATATATGTACTTCATCTGTTTACCTGGAGTTCAGCTTTTCTCCAGGGGACTATAGGGATGCAAATAGGTAGATACTGACAATATGAACAATTTCTATAACTATGTCTGTGACATCATTTCTCTCAGTTTGATCAGATGCTTTGGAGGCCAGAGGAGACATCTGGGGTCTAATCCCTTGTTCACACCGAATGCAATTTCAGGTACTTCTATAGCGACGTCAATTTACGTAGCTCTTTACATATATATTGTACATTCTATCTCTCTACTCCTCAGCTGACCTCATCAGTTTCCTCCCGTATCACCGATTTACTAACAGACATATAAGACTGGATGACACACAACTTTTTAAAATTCAACCTATCCAAAACTGAGCTCATAATATTTCCTCCCCCACGTGCCTCTTCCCCTGATTTCTCGGTCAGGATCAATAGCACCACCATCAACCCATCGCTGCATGCCAGGGTGCTAGGAGTAACTCTGGGTTCTGAACTTTTTTGAGGCCCACATCCAATCGCTGTCCAATCATGCCGCCTCAACCTCCAACATCTCCAGAAAACGCCCCTTTTTAACCAATGATACCACAAAGGTCCTAATTCACTCCTTGGTTATCTCTGGCCTCGACTACTGCAACTCCCCCCTCATTGACTTACGTTTACATAGGCTATCCCCCCTCCAGTCCATTATGAATACTGCTGCCAGGCTCATCCACCTTACCAACCGTTCAGTGTCTGCTACCCCTCTCTGCCAATCCTTCCACTGGCCTCCACTCAGTGTCTGCTACCTCTTTCTGCCAATCCTTCCATTGACCTCCACTCAGTGTCTGCTACCCCTCTCTGCCAATCCCTCCATTGGCCTCCATTCAGTGTCCTCCACCCCTCTCTGCCAAGCCCTCCACTGACCTCCATTCAGTGTCCTCCACCCCTCTCTGCCAATCCCTCCACTGGCCTCCATTCAGTGTCCTCCACCCCTCTCTGCCAAGCCCTCCACTGACCTCCATTCAGTGTCCTCCATCCCTCTCTACCAATCCCTCCACTGGCCTCCAATAAGTGTCCTCCACCCCTCTCTGCCAATCCCTCCACTGGCTTCCACTCACCTAACAAACAAAATTCAAAATACTAACAACAACTTACAAAGCCATCCACAACTCTGCCCCCAGCTACATCACCAACCTGGTCTCAAAATATCAAGCAAAATACCAATATCAATATCTCTTCCATCCTCCCAAGACCTTCTGCTTTCTAGATCCCATGTCACCTCCTCCCATGCTCACCTCCAGGACTTCTTCCGAGCTTCTCCCATCCTATGGAACTCCCTACCCCAATCTGTCCAGCTATCTCCTAATCTATCCACCTTTAAACGATCCCTGAAAACCTTTCTCTTTAAAGAAGCCTATCCTGCTTCTACCTAGTAAACTGCCATTTATTTCCTCCATCAGCCCATCCCCCACAGCTATTACCTTTTGTATCCCTCAACCCTTCCTCCTAGATTGTAAGCTCCCAGGATCAGGGCCCTCTGTTTCCTCTTGTGCCAAATTTTATTGTAACTGTAATATTTACCTTCATTTTGTAAAGCGCTGCGCAAACTGTTGGCGCCATATAAATACTATAACAATAATAAATTTTAAGATGGATACAAGAAAAACCACTAATTATTGTACTGGGGTAGGCATGTTATGGTTTGCACAGATCAGGAAAGGTGCACCTTCTCATCGATTGGCTGACCCCAAATATTTGCCCATCCTAGACTATCTTTTATTTTTTTTTGTGCAGGGACTGATTACAGCTGACTGTGAGGGCAATAGATAAAGGATTCGTAGCTGTAAGGGCCCAGCAAAGTCTTATCCGTGGTCAGTGTGGCTGGTTCATTTGTGGGTTGTCTGGAGGTCACACCGACCATAATGGCATCCATGAAGCAGGAAACTGCAAATTGACCCCTAAATGCTATATTTTTTTTTTAGGATAGCAATCAATACATAATATATATATACCGGTTTATTATTTATATGTATCCTCTTCAAAATGTCTCTTGTCCTTTTCAGGATCTTTTTCAGTTTTATTTACAGTATTATACTATACATAATTGTAGCAACAAAACAAAAAGCACCACATCAGCACTAAAGAGATGTAAAACTAATATTGAGAAAAATAAAGTCTTAAGTGTTTCTAAACCCTGGACCCCGCATTCACTATATCCGCTCTCCCCGGACCCCGCATTCACTATATCCGGTCTCCCCGGACCCCCGCATTCACTATATCCGCTCTCCCCGGACCCCGCATTCACTATATCCGCTCTCCCCGGACCCCGCATTCACTATATCCGCTCTCCCCGGACCCCGCATTCACTATATCCGCTCTCCCCGGACCCCGCATTCACTATATCCGCTCTCCCCGGACCCCGCATTCACTATATCCGCTCTCCCCGGACCCCGCATTCACTATATCCGCTCTCCCCGGACCCCGCATTCACTATATCCGCTCTCCCCGGACCCCGCATTCACTATATCCGCTCTCCCCGGACCCCGCATTCACTATATCCGCTCTCCCCGGACCCCGCATTCACTATATCCGCTCTCCCCGGACCCCGCATTCACTATATCCGCTCTCCCCGGACCCCGCATTCACTATATCCGCTCTCCCCGGACCCCGCATTCACTATATCCGCTCTCCCCGGACCCCGCATTCACTATATCCGCTCTCCCCGGACCCCGCATTCACTATATCCGCTCTCCCCGGACCCCGCATTCACTATATCCGCTCTCCCCGGACCCCGCATTCACTATATCCGCTCTCCCCGGACCCCGCATTCACTATATCCGCTCTCCCCGGACCCCGCATTCACTATATCCGCTCTCCCCGGACCCCGCATTCACTATATCCGCTCTCCCCGGACCCCGCATTCACTATATCCGCTCTCCCCGGACCCCGCATTCACTATATCCGCTCTCCCCGGACCCCGCATTCACTATATCCGCTCTCCCCGGACCCCGCATTCACTATATCCGCTCTCCCCGGACCCCGCATTCACTATATCCGCTCTCCCCGGACCCCGCATTCACTATATCCGCATGTTCTCCCTGTGCGGGTTTTCTTTGGGTACTCCGGTTATCTCCCACTATTCTAAAACAGCTAGCGGGGCGAGCTCCTGATCAAGTAACTGCCAGTCACAGCGGTCACATGATACAGAAGCCACAACATAAAAGCCCACTTAAAGGGCCACGGGATGCAATTTTCATGCATTATTTCCAGTATTTTGTTTTCATTTATTTCAGGTACTTATATAGCACCGTCAATTTACGCAGCACTTTACATATATATTGTACATTCACATCAGTCCCTAACCCTCAAGGGGCGTACAATCTAAGGTCCCTAACTCACATTCATACATACACATACTAGGGGCAATTTAGACAGGAGCCAGTTAACCTACCGGCATGTCTTTGGAGTGTGGGAGGAAACCGGAGTACCCGGAGGGAGCCCACGCAGGCACAGGGAGAACATGCAAACTCCAGGCAGGTGGTGCCATGCTTGGGATTCGAACCAGCGACCCGAGTACTGCCAGGCGGAAGTGCTAACCATTTAGCCGCTGTGCTGCCCAGTATTGATTAATAAGTATTGAAATAGGAATTTCATCTCTAATGTTTGTCTGTGTGGAATGTATTTTATTTTTCTCTTTATGTTTACGGCTTTCACATCCACCTTTGTACCTCGGCCGGTCTGGTTGCCCCATGCCTGTGTTAATGAATACACGGGATTTCATTATTTGTCCTGTAGTGATATCCATAGTCCAGACCTGGAACAAGGATGTCTCTAGCGCTCTGCAAAAACAAAATGAAATTATTTTCTAAATCTGTGAAGAAGAAGAATTCCCATCTTAAGAGGCGTCTATTGGAGGTGAGTCCCCTGCAGGGATCGGGTCTCCTTCTCAGCCGGAATGCTGACTGCAATGGTTTTTCTTTCTTTGATATTGTAAATTTTTAGTAAATCGGAGCCTTTTTAGCCTAATATGGCTGATCACATATAACCGTAGAATTCATGGACTATACAAAGACAATGTGGAATACCTTGTGTATTATACAGGTATGGGAGTGTAGCCCGCTGGCCTTCCCTTCAGCCTTGCACAGGTGTACTGGCTCCTCCCCTTCAGTCTTGCACAGGTGTACCGGCTCCTCCCCTGCAGTCTTGCACAGGTGTAGCGGCTCCTCCCCTTCAGTCTTGCACAGGTGTACCGGCTCCTCCCCTCTAGTGTAACACAGGTGTACCGGCTCTTCCCTTTCAGTCTTGCACAGGTGTACCGGCTCCTCCCCTCTAGTGTTGCACAGGTTTACTGGCTCCTCCCCTTCAGTCTTGCACAGGTGTACCTGCTTCTCCCCTTCAGTCTTGCACAGGTGTACTGGCTCCTCCCCTTCAGTCTTGTACAGGTGTACTGGCTCCTCCCCTTCAGTCTTGTACAGGTGTACTGGCTCCTCCCCTTCAGTCTTGCACAGGTGTACTGGCTCCTCCCCTTCAGTCTTGTACAGGTGTACCTGCTCCTCTCCTTCAGTCTTGCACAGGTGTACCGGCTCCTCCCCTCCAGTCTTGCACAGGTGTAGCGGCTCCTCCCCTTCAGTCTTGCACAGGTGTACCTGCTCCTCCCCTTCAGTCTTGCACAGAGTTACCGGCTCCTCCCCATCAGTCTTGCACAGGTGTACCGGCTCCTCCCCTTCAGTCTTGCACAGGTGTACCGGCTCCTCCCCTTCAGTCTTGCACAGTTGTGTAGCGGCTCCTCCCCTTCAGTCTTGCACAGGTGTAGCGGCTCCTCCCCTTCAGTCTTGCACAGGGTTACCGGCTCCTCCCCATCAGTCTTGCACAGGTGTACCGGATCCTCCCCTTCAGTCTTGCACAGGGTGTACCGGCTCCTCCCCTTCTGTCCTGCACAGGTGTAGCTGCTTTTCTCCTGGACTGAAACGGCTTCCTCTGATTATACTGCACACTGTGAGCTTCTCACAATGTGCATTAGAAGCTGCAGGGAGCCAGAGCTCTGCCCCATTTCCTGGCTGGAGGACGTCCAGCTTCATTTAGTCCTTTCCTACCCAGTCTGACGGTCCCAAGCCCCACCTCTTTCATAGCATGTCTTTGAAGTGTGGGAGGAAACCGGACTACCCGGAGGAGCCCATGCAGGCACAGGGAGAACATACCAACTCCAGGCAGGTGGTTCCATTCTTTTATAGAGGATCATCATCACATGTGGGCATTACCTAGGGTAGTTTGCATACAAATACAGTCTGCCTAGGAACACCCACTCCTCCAGACTGACTTCCAACCATCAGGGTTCTATGACTTTTGCATAACTCCTCCGAAGAGCCACCCCATCAGGACTGAGGGCTCTTGAGAGGAGAACAGAGGCAGGGTGCTGTGATGCTTTCAGGAAGCTATGTACAGCACCCTCCCCCTCAGCCATGATCTGCCTGCATTGCATGGAGAAACACAGAGACCAGCGATGATGATTCTAAAATAAGATATATAATGAAATGGAAATGTTTTATTTTATTTTCATTAGCTCGTTGAAAAAGGATGAACCTGGGACTGCAAATTGAGGTGAAACTTCACAGTGCAAAGAATACCCAATCACATACAAGGAAAATTATAAAAAAAATAACAGCATTTTTGCATGCATTGGATTGGATGATGGAAGTCAGCTGAGTTTCCCCTTATTTACTAAGCTCTGGAGAGGCGGTACTTGCCGTCTTTTTGAATTTAGTAAATCAGCTCCTTTGTTTTTTACTTTTGGTTGAAATGAAAAAGGATTCGAACCCCTGCCAGGTTTGTACTTCTATTTCACACACCCATTCCTTTCCTGTCTTGGTGACAACTATTTCACCAGAAAGGAAATGTAGGAGAATCATCAACGGCAACAAAGACAGAATAGTTTTTTTCTAAGTAGTAACAATGTCTGATTGCTGTCTGTGTCCCCGTTGAAGAGTTTCTCTCACTCCCTGCCTGGTGAATTTATCACTGTGATACGAATCAAAAGGGGAAATCTTTTAAACGGAGCCCCAGAAGACCATCAAAAAGGTTCTAATCGTCCCAACTTCATCCAAAAGTAAAAAAAAAAA